GGTTTTTAATTTAACTAAAATGCGCAGCGCAGCAAAAGAAGAATAAAATGGCCGCGGGGACAGGGCAAACAGGGAGGGGAATTGTCAAGGCGATTTAATGGCGTGCAATTCTAGGAATTCTAAGAAACGCAGAGTCCTCCTGGCCCCCGAGTCACCAGTCCCCAGTCCCCAGTCCCCATGTCCTTCAATCCCAAGCCATTGTCAGGCCGGGCACGCCATTGCCATTGCTGAATGTCCTCAGTGTATTTATGGGTGTGTGCGAGTGTGCGTGTGTGAATCAACAGGCCACGCGCGACACCATAAAACCGAAACAGCAAAACCGACCAGTACATGTATCTGTATCTAGCAGATACAAAAGGGAAGCGGAGCGAAGCGGCGAATGGGTAAAAACAAGCGAACGAAACTTCGCACATAATGAGTTTTTATGGCCTGCGAGAGAGTCCTGGCCTTTATATAGCCTTCAGTTGTCCTGGGCTTTGAGCTCCCGCTCCTGCTCCTGTTGCTGCTCCTGTTCCTGCTCCTGCCATTGCCATCAGCATCTCCTAATTGCGAATGCAGTCGCTCCCGTTGACAAACAGTTCTTCTGCCATTTTTTCTCATCTTTTTTCATGCTGTGTGTGTGCACAACACACAAATCAGCGTAAAATTTGTCTAGGGCCCAAGTTTTATGGAGCTGTAACTGCGACAAAGTGTGCAGCAGTCAGTCGGGAAGTCAGTGAGCAACCAAAACCAACTCTGAAAACCTAAGGAAGCTGTCGCTTTGCAGCAAAACGGGGGAGAAGCAAAAAAAGAGGGATCCCTGGAAGCTAAGTAGATGGTTTACTGGGTAATAAACAGTGCAAGGCACCAGGACAATGTTTCAGATGCACACAAAAACTACTGGCTAGTAAATGCCAGATGCTGCATTCAGACACTGAAAGAATGCTGAGAACTAAGTTTAAATTGATGGTAATATAAGGGAAAGACTTAGAGGCTTCAAAGTCCAAGAGTAATAGTATTTAAATCTCTCTGAAATTATAAATAAAATGTTTAAATAATTCTAATTTAAAAGTAGTAAGAAAAAACCTTCAAGAACTTCTCCCTTTTTGTTGTACAGAAAACCCTTGAACCCATTAAGTGGCATCCTTATCCCCTACTCCCACAATTCCTTAGGCAACATTACACTCTTTTAAGCATTAACCTCTTCCGCTCAGTGCACTGCAGTGGAATGCTTGAAAAACTTGCTCTTGCATCTTCCACCCGAGTGCCCCAGATCATGACTTCTGCGTAACCGAAACCCAAGGTGGATCAACTGCGATTTCACCTGGCTCAGATGGCCCAGGTAGTCCGTAACTTTCAGCACTGAAAAGTTCAAGATCCCCCGCACTTTCAATTACATCTGAAGGTGGAAAACGGATGGATTTCGGGCAATGGAATGGGTCTGGGGGATGGGCGTGTTGCAGTGGGCGTTGCTGATGTTGAGCAACTGCTCATTAGCGTGGCTCACACGAAGCTATTAATTCAATTATTTACACTGTTTCTGGCAGCTGACAAGCCCCGCACCCATCTTCTTTCTGGTTCTGTGTGTGTTTTCCGTGTGTGTGTCTTGTTCCGGGAAACTGTTGCTCGTCGCCCGAGGTCCCGAGGCATATTCCCCCGCGACGACCGAGGGTGGGAAGGGGTGGTGATGATGGCCGGGAGCCAGGAGGGGGGCGGGGCGAAGAACGGTTTGTGGACTTAATTATGCATATTACGCCGAGTGTAATTTGCGTTGCGAAATGGACCCAATGTCGAAATCGAGTCGAAATATTTACAACCAGTGCAGCCGAAAGCCCTCAAAGCATTGTAAAAACAAAAAAGATCAATTAAAATCGAGAAAAATGGCAAAAGATACTAAAGAAATGGATGATATACTTTATGGTTCTGGGAAATTAAAATTTTGAATGCCTGTTTTGGTAATTATTAAGGTTTAAAGGGATTGTTTTTTTTAATTTATTTTAAAGCTATATAAATCCAAGGATATGCTGCCTTTTAAGGACCTCCAAAATGACTTATCTCTCTCCCCACAAAAGAAGAGGAAATTACGACAGCACTGACCAACTGCAGCTGGCCTTAACAGTTGCAATTTAGGTGAAAATAATAACGGATTTGTGCAGAGCCAGAGGCGAGGCGAATGCGAGTGGGCGTGGCTGTTGCGTGGGCGTCAGCGTTGAGCATTTCATTAGCTGCGCATTTACATTTCATTGCACCCAATTTGTGCTGCCGCGTCGCGTCAACAGTTGCCATCCCAAACCATCCTCTTCATCCTCCATCCTCGGCCTCGTCCTCGTCCTCGTCCTCATCCTGGAATGTGTGCGTGCGTGTAATTTAATTCGACAGTCGTGCCATAAAAATGAAATGCACAACGTGATGTGCAAGGATAAGCAGGGCTAGTGACATAGAGCGGCCAGGATATGTCCGCATATCTATATATACAGATGTATATAGATGTTTGGCCACGCATGTTGCAAATAACTTTATCTACTCCGCACATGTAAATGCGAGGCGGCAGACAACAGAAATCGGGTTAATAGTTGAGGCCCGGCCGGGGCCGAAAAGCTAATCAAAGGCAAGGACATTTCATGTCCTTTTTTTTGGGGCCCAAGAGAGGGGTGTGTAGCCATCGGCGTTGACGCCCTCAACTCAAGTCCTGTTGCCGTGCCTAAAAATAGACCCAGTTCTGATTGGGAGTAGCTTCTTTACAAGGACGATGGAAGACGAAGACGATGTTATGCCAATAAGTCGACGGCAGTCAGGGAAGCGGGCTCTGAACTAAAGGTTATGGATTCTTGGCCAACATACATATTTTGTTATATATGTAACAGGTACTTGTGAAGGTCTTCCTATATTTGGAAATTATATAAAAATATAAGGGGGGAAATGTTATGCCAATAAGTTATCGAAGGTCATGGAGTAGGGAACTTTTGAGGAATATTTTCTATATTTGTGTTAGGTAATTATATAGACTAATTAACTGTTTTATTTGGAAAAATGAAATCAGAAGAAGGTAAAGCAGTATCCCTTATATTTAATTTATATATTATAATATTCCCAAACTCATTTGATTCCCTGTCATGTTTTCATTAAAGTAACCTATTTTATCTTTCCTTCCTGCTCACACGAAACTCACAGCCTTGTCCTTGGCTTAATCCTTGGCGAAGCGGGCCAGCTGAGTCCTGCCAGAAAGCAACACCTCCCTCTCTCTCCCCTCAGCACTCCACCTGGTAATGCAACTTCCCCGGCTGCATCTGCTGCTGTTGCTGTTAATTATCCTGCCGTCGTGCTTATTACCTTAATGTCGGGTTGCCCATCGCGTTGAGTGCGCCACAGGCAGGCCACAATTGCTCGATCCGGATGCAGATGCCGTTGCGAACAGGGACACGGACAGGATACGTACCGGGCAATGTCAGGACAATGGCTACGTGCCACAGGACTCGGAACTCCGTAGTCGAAACCAGCCGCGTGTAATTACCAATGTCATTCGAAACGGCCAAGAAGGAGGGCTAATTAAAGTGCACGCAAATTTGAATTATCTACCGACTTTGTTGGCGCCACTAGAACATAGACGGTGTGAAATCAAGAGACGGCTTTTCCCCATCGATTTTCCAGCATTACGTATACGTCGTGTGATAATTTGTGTAGTTAACGTAAGACAATAAAGCTGCTGACAAAGACAAATAATCCCATGGCCCCGCAGCATATTCCCACCAGAGCTCCTTGAAAGTTTAATTGAGCACAGGATGAGTGCACATGAAGTTGTAATAAAATCCGGAGGCTGGAAAGCTAAATGTTTGCAGATGAAGTTAGGCTATACATAAATGAAGTTAAACTCAATATTTTAAGTAAATTTGCTGAGCTTATTCATAGTCTAAATCTTTTCAGGAAGTAAGTAAAAGGTAAAGGATTATTTCTTGATTTACAACATGATTTCTCCAGGTAAATAAAGATTTATTAAATAACAAAGTAAAGGCAAAGCCCCACTTCTTAACTCACAATATTCTTTGACTTTCAGATAACAAAGGATAATAATATAAACTATCTAGTAGATGTCCATTGTTGAAGAGAAATTCCTGGTGAGTCTCAAGTGAGTCAAGACTCAACGTTTTTCCTTTTTGCGAATTTATATTCATTACCAAACCCCTTACTTTCAGCAAGTTTGGCTTGGGTTTCCCTCGGCCTGCTTGCCTGCTTATTTATTTGTTTTCATTTTCATTTTCCCGGCTGGCTGCCAGGACCGGAGTATAAGCTCTGAAATATCAAACGCAGGCCAATCCGAAGCCAAATCCGCACAGTCAAGGGTTTCCTTTCTGGTTAAACATAAGTTGACGACGTGCCCGCAGACCCTGCCTCTTTGTCCAAACCTCCTTCTTCCGTATCCTTTGGCCCGACTATTTTTAGTGCCTCTGATTTGTTTTGCCTAGCATTCAAGCCCCTCTGTCGTCACTTGTGGTTTTGGCTTGGCACTCGAGGCGAGCCAAAGCGGAAAAAGAATGCACACTCGGAAAATGGAGTTTATTTAAATCGATAATAGAATTTCAACTAAAGATAGAGTATGTTTATGAAATAGTTATTTTATTATATTAAAAAGTATCTTAATTCTTTGCTCTTTTGTTCTTTTATTTTTCAATATTTGATTTTATTAATAATCAAGAGTATTATTTCTGCCTGTCCACTTGATAGACCCAGAGTTATACTCCTAGGAAGTATTCTGTCGTATTCCCTGTGGGCTATGCTTCTTGTAAATTAAGTTGAGTGCTGGAGTGTTGGAGGCTAACCTCCTTTTGTTGATTTTTTATATATTTTTCTGAGTGCATATACCCGCAGACGGAGCCCTAGGCTAAGACCGCCCGTGGTTCTGAAAACGAAACCTAAAACTAAACCATGTCTACATGCCGCTCCGCAATCCTTGGTGCGGTTTAGGGATTAGGGCGTCTGCAGCTCCTGCTGCTGTGTGAAAGGGGGGAATCCCCAAAGCGACTTACCTTGACAAAGTGGTAGAAGAGCACCGCTCCAACGGTGGCCAGAGCAAACCAGACGAAGATGGCGAAGGTTGAGATGCTGGACATGCTCAGGGCATGGAGCAGGTGCGAGCTGATGATGGCAGCGCCCAGGCAAAGCAGGAAGGGCAGGAAGAGGCGCTCGAAGATGTCCCATGGAATCTCCGCTGACTTTTGCGGCAAAGCCGATATCGAACCCCGGCGCAGGGAGGCTCTCCGCGAGGCCCGGCGCTAGTGGATGGTGGAGAAAACGAAAAAGATACAGATGGAAATACATTTAGTCAGATATGTGGCATATATATCGCGATTTAATTATTCATTTCTGCGGCTACGATTTATAAATAGCCCCAAAGACAGACAGAATGGCCGAGCGCTGTTGTTTTATCAATCGTGAGATGTTTGTTTGGCAAATATTTAAACAATTGCGGCACGCTATTTGTTTGCGTTTTGATCAATAAACAAGGCGAATAGATATATGTATATACATCTATGCAAATTATTGCACACACTTATTGTTTTTATTTTGAGCTGGAAAATTCACCACCAGATGGGGGCCACTTTAAACTAATCCCTTTGAGTGGAAAGGTATTTACGATTCATCTGCGGTGTTTCTCTACACTTTTTGGCTAGACTTTGGTCTAGATTAATGCTCTGTGGGAGAGCCCATTAGAATTTGATAAGCTATGGGCCATTTGCATTTTTATTTATAATAAAATAGTATAATTATGCACATGTGGCAATTAAGAAACTTACTATAAGGTGATTTATGAACTTCTTGAAACAATTGGCCTTAGTTTTATTTAAGATTTCAGCTGGGAGAGTATTCAATATTTTCCAGTTTTTAAAGCTTCCTAACTCTTAATACGTTTAAGGGTGTTATTAGAATTTAAATTAACCTTAAACTTCATTTATTAAATACAAAAGAGAATGCATTGTAAATAGAATCTTGATTTCCCTTGACAAGACCTCCTTTGAACTTGTTTATTACAAAATTCCAGCTAATTAAAAATCGTTGTTTTTATTACCAGACATAATTCCTAATATTTCCTGTCCATATAAAATAGATTCAAAAGTCTCTGCCAGTCATATGAACAATATTAAATCAATTTATTGACTTAAGACTTCCGCGTGTTTTTGGCATTTTCAGATTTCTCTTTGCTGAAAATTGGAAATCATTCAACGCGCCGACTACTCCTCCGTCTGCTCAACATTCCATATATGTATATATTGATATATATATATATATAAATATTTCGATATATGCCAAAACATATATCATCGCAATTTCATTAAAGCTGAACCGGACTGCAACCGCAGAACCCAAACGTCCGCAAGCACTCTCGGATACGTTTCGTATCTGTGGATGTGGTTTGCTTGCATTTATCAGACCCTAACCCACACACACTGACATTGACATATAGCAATTACACATGACGTGCACAATACCCTCTCTGGCAGGGGGAGGGGGGGTAGGGGGGGAGAAAGCCACAATGAGGGGGAGTGGGGTGAAAAAAAAATGGGCAAAAGGGGAGCGCTTTTGGCCATTGGCCATAAATCAACGACAGTGCGAAATAATCAAATGGTGGCATCTGCATAAATACAGAAGCCAATTGATTTATTCGGCCTGAAAATAAACCAATTTCCAATTCGGATTCTTGAACTCTTTTTCTACTATTTTTCCTCCATTTCTTTTTGTGTAAATTGTAAAGCCCCCTAAAGTTCTATTTATAATGCCGCGTGCTGCTTGGAATATCAAAAGGAAATCATCAGCGATGTCAGCTTTCTCTGCTTGATTTAGCCGCTGCTTTCGTCATCCGACCTTGTTGGCCGATTTACACAAGATATGTTATGTTGTGACTAATGCCGCCTCGCATTCTGTAAGTTCTAACGGCGACCCACTCGCAGAAATCCGTCCGCGATCTGACAACCACGCAGATATGTGTGCTATATACACATCGATGCCGGTTCAGATATAATGGCATGGGTATTTATGTGTATATTCCCCCACGATTTATCTACTTAATGGGGAGGCCCAGCTGCCAAGAAATCGGTGGATATAAGAAGACGTTTGCTTTGGTTTGTCTCCAAGCCTTATATTTATTAATAAAGATATGGATATGTATTTTTAGATGATTCGAAGGAATCAAATCGAATGGAAAATTCTGGCAATGCAGAAAAATGTTTCTGCCACAACTTTGGATAATTTTGTTTCGAAAAATTCACTTTTATGGAATGGGTATAATAGTTTGCTTTCTGGTTACATAAATCTCTTTAGGGGGGAAATTGTTTTGTCTTTATTCGTTTTAAGTCTATTTACATTGCATTCTAAAGTCGGCAGACTTTTGACAAGTCTGTTGCTACCACTTAAGTTTTCATCTAGTGAAAATGTGCTTAATTTTTCTTCGTCTCCTTGTAGCACGTTCGTTGACCCACTTGGATCTTGGCCATTAAGTGAATTTTTGTAATTAATTTGGCGGGCCGCTTTGAGCACCGCATGACTTCCTGGCTGAAATATCCTTATTCTGTGGCCAAAATGGGCGTGGCACTGGCACTGGAATTTGTGTGCCGGGCCTTACTGGGTTGAGCTAACTGGGCTAAGATGGTGTAGGCCGAGATGGTAGGAGTTCCCTACCACTTACCATATTGTTATCGAAGACCTGCATGGTTTACTCAGGATGCCTATGATATGTTTCGATTAATTTCGATTTATTTCGCGCACTCCGCGCACTTCTCTCACGGTTTAGAGATCGGGATCTGGTCCCCTGGAATTTTCTTGAGATTTTCCTCGGCGGTACTGGGGCCGCTCGTGGCCTGGGCGCTCTGAAACACGACGTGGCACTAAGCGGTACGATCGAGTGCCGCCGTTGCCTGCAGCCGAAAATGTTCGGAAAGCTCTGTTGACGTCGACTTTGGCGCCTCTGTCGACTTCTGTTGTATTTCAAAATGCTGCAGCGGAATTGTCGTTTTGATTTTTTAAAAATATATCCGAATTATGTAGCTATGTGGCGGAGTGCGTGCGCGAGATACATATTCCGTTAGTTAGATAAATAAATATATATTTAAATTCTCGCTCATAGCTACAGATGAACAGATACAGCCAAGCAGATACATTTGTTGAGTTTGCTTTAAAATGTCCCCAGTTTAAGTAGCCAGTTTATGCGCATAAATATTTATGGGAATATCGCCTTTTCACGGCCCAGTACTTGCGGTCTTTTCCTTTTTGCATTTTCCCCATTTTCGATAACGTCACTGTCGCTGCTGCTGTTGTTTACATTTTGTTATTGTTAATTTGCAAATTGCATTTTTACTCTTTATTTAAATGCCCTTTCCCCTGGCGCGCCTCGCGCTGCTGCACTTTATATGCCTTGTGCCAATGCTGCTGCTACTACTGCGGCCAGGAAATGGGAAAATTGCATAAATAAACCATGTTAAAGGGGAAATTCATGGAAATTCATGGAATGCAATGTGTGTGCCAATGGCTGGCGGAAAAAAATCATTTAACTTTGGCCGCGAGAAATTGCGAAATGAAACTGCACTAAATGCCCATTTGCAATCTCGCTTTCACGTAACCATAAAAAGAAACTAATAAAATTGTATTTGTGTAAAGTTAAAATTTCCAAAATTAAATTATTTTTGGTTTTAATCGAAATAAAAAAATCTTGTTTAGTAACAAGTGAATGCTACTTTCATGTTGAAGTTAAATCAATTAGATTACTATATAGTATTTCTATGTACTAGTTATAATTTTGTTTGTTTGTAATATTTCTTTAATAATATGAGGATTTCATTATATCTTAAATTTATTTTTAAAATTATGTTATATGTACCACGCCAGACCCAATAAATCATATATATTCCAGATCAGCATGAAAAGGCGAGTCGAGAGAGATGAGATTTTTAATCTTTTATTTGTAAAAAAATGTCGTGTAAAAATATAGTTAATATCCACTAAAATGGGGTATTGCACCTTCAGTCGGAAGTTTAAAAGAAAGTGAAGGAGTCATTTCATATTCTTGATCAGCATCAGAAAAGGAGAATCTTTCTAGCTATTTTCAGGTAACAAAAATTTTTTCAGAAGTTTCCCATTTTTTGAAAAAGAGGAAAGAGGTTACATCATTAAAATTTATTCACATAAATTCACATTTTAAGTGTAGTATGCAGTTTTATTAAACTGCTAAAAATGAACATACGAGAGCTTTCCGAATTGAAATTAAAAATGTTTTGACTTAGTTATAAGTTTTTTAAATTTTGATTTGTAGAAAAAATTGGCATTTAAAAATATAGTTAATATCCACTTAAATATGGTATTGCCCTTCAGTCGGAAACTTAAAAGAAAGTGAAGAATTCTGCGTGTGTTGATGCTGCTGTCAGTTTTTTTCTAAAACCATAAAAACTGGCAAAAAGGCATAAAAACAGACAATTTTTCGCAAAAATCATAGTTTTAAAAAACTCATAACTAAGCCAAAAAATCATTAATTTTAATTCGGAAAGCTGTTCTATGCTTGTCTTAAGTAGATTAACAAAACTGCATACCCAGTTTTCAAATTTAAAAAATTCAATTTTTTATCAAATTTTGGCAATTTTAATGATGTAACCCCTTATAAAATTTTCAATTTTCGGAAAAATTTAAAAAAAATATTTTTGACCAAACATGGCCAGAACGACTGGGCTGTTGATGCTGATCAAGAATATATATGGTTTATAGGGTCGGAAACGACTCCTTCACTGCGTTGCAACCTTCTGACTTTAATTATATTTTTCAAAAAGGTATAAAAACAGGTAATTTTTCAACAAAATCAAAGTTTTTCGGAATTCATAATTAAGCCTAAAGTGCACTAATTTTAATTCGGAAAGCTTTTCTGTGCTAGTTTTTATTTCACTAACAAATCTGCATACTTATATTGTTGATGCTGTTGTCAGTTTTTTTCTAAAATCATAAAAACCGGCAAAAAGGTATAAAAACAGACAATTTTTCGCAAAAATCATAGTTTTAAAAAACTCATAACTAGGCCAAAAAATCAATAATTTTAATTCGGAAAGCTGTTCTATGACAGTTTTTAGTAGATTAACAAAACTGCATACCCAGTTTTCAAATTTAAAAATTCAATTTTTTGTCAAATAATTTTCATATTTATAAAATTTTCAATTTTCGGAAAAATGTAAAAAAATTATTTTTAAGCAGACATGGCCAGAACGACTGGGCTGTTCATGCTGATCAAGAATATATATGGTTTATAGGGTCGGAAACGACTCCTTCACTGCGTTGCAAGCTTCTGACTTTAATTATATTCTTCAAAAAGGTATAAAAACAGGTAATTTTTCAACAAAATCAAATTTTTTCGGAATTCATAATTAAGCCGAAAGTGCACTAATTTTAATTCGGAAAGCTTTTCTGTGCTAGTTTTTATTTCACTAACAAATCTGCATACTTATATTGTTGATGCTGTTGTCAGTTTTTTTCTAAAATCATAAAAACCGGCATAAAGGTATAAAAACAGACAATTTTTCGCAAAAATCATAGTTTTAAAAAACTCATAACTAAGCCAAAAAATCAATAATTTTAATTCGGAAAGCTGTTCTATGACAGTTTTTAGTAGATTAACAAAGCTGCATACCCAGTTTTCAAATTTAAAAAATTCAATTTTTTGTCAAATTTTGGCAATTTTAACGATGTAACCCCTTATAAAATTTTCAATTTTCGGAAAAATGTAAAAAAATTATTTTTTAACCAGACATGGCCAGAACGACTGGGCTGTTCATGCTGATCAAGAATATATATGGTTTATAGGGTCGGAAACGACTCCTTCACTGCGTTGCAAGCTTCTGACTTTAATTATATTCTTCAAAAAGGTATAAAAACAGGTAATATTTCAACAAAATCAAAGTTTTTCGGAAGTCATAATTAAGCCGAAAGTGCACTAATTTTAATTCGGAAAGTTTTTCTGTGCTAGTTTTTATTTCACTAACAAATCTGCATACTTATATTGTTGATGCTGTTGTCAGTTTTTGACTAATATCATAAAAATCGGCATAAAGGTATAAAAACAGACAATTTTTCGCAAAAATCATAGTTTTAAAAAACTCATAACTAAGCCAAAAAATCAATAATTTTAATTCGGAAAGCTGTTCTATGACAGTTTTTAGTAGATTAACAAAGCTGCATACCCAGTTTTCAAATTTAAAAAATTCAATTTTTTGTCAAATTTTGGCAATTTTAATGATGTAACCCCTTATAAAATTTTCAATTTTCGGAAAAATGTAAAAAAATTATTTTTTAACCAGACATGGCCAGAACGACTGGGCTGTTCATGCTGATCAAGAATATATATGGTTTATAGGGTCGGAAACGACTCCTTCACTGCGTTGCAAGCTTCTGACTTAAAATATATTCTTCAAAAAGGTATAAAAACAGATAATTTTTAACAAAATCAAATTTTTTCGGACCTCATAATTAAGCCGAAAGTGCACTAATTTTAATTCGGAAAGCTTTTCTGTGCTAGTTTTTATTTCACTAACAAATCTGCATACTTATATTGTTGATGCTGTTGTCAGTTTTTGACTAATATCATAAAAATCGGCATAAAGGTATAAAAACAGACAATTTTTCGCAAAAATCATAGTTTTAAAAAACTCATAACTAAGCCAAAAAATCAATAATTTTAATTCGGAAACCTGTTCTATGACAGTTTTTAGTAGATTAACAAAGCTGCATACCCAGTTTTCAAATTTAAAAAATTCAATTTTTTGTCAAATTTTGGCAATTTTAATGATGTAACCCTTATAAAATTTTCAATTTTCGGAAAAATGTAAAAAAATTATTTTTAAGCAGACATGGCCAGAACGACTGGGCTGTTCATGCTGATCAAGAATATATATGGTTTATAGGGTCGGAAACGACTCCTTCACTGCGTTGCAAGCTTCTGACTTTAATTATATTCTTCAAAAAGGTATAAAAACAGGTAATTTTTCAACAAAATCAAATTTTTTCGGAATTCATAATTAAGCCGAAATTGCACTAATTTTAATTCGGAAAGCTTTTCTGTGCTAGTTTTTATTTCACTAACAAATCTGCATACTTATATTGTTGATGCTGTTGTCAGTTTTTTTCTAAAATCATAAAATCCGGCAAAAAGGTATAAAAACAGACAATTTTTCGCAAAAATCATAGTTTTAAAAAACTCATAACTAAGCCAAAAAATCAATAATTTTAATTCGGAAAGCTGTTCTATGACAGTTTTTAGTAGATTAACAAAGCTGCATACCCAGTTTTCAAATTTAAAAAATTCAATTTTTTGTCAAATTTTGGCAATTTTAATGATGTAACCCCTTATAAAATTTTCAATTTTCGGAAAAATGTAAAAAAATTATTTTTTAAGCAGACATGGCCAGAACGACTGGGCTGTTCATGCTGATCAAGAATATATATGGTTTATAGGGTCGGAAACGACTCCTTCACTGCGTTGCAAGCTTCTGACTTTAATTATATTCTTCAAAAAGGTATAAAAACAGGTAATTTTTCAACAAAATCAAATTTTTTCGGAATTCATAATTAAGCCGAAAGTGCACTAATTTTAATTCGGAAAGCTTTTCTGTGCTAGTTTTTATTTCACTAACAAATCTGCATACTTATATTGTTGATGCTGTTGTCAGTTTTTTTCTAAAATCATAAAAACCGGCATAAAGGTATAAAAACAGACAATTTTTCGCAAAAATCATAGTTTTAAAAAACTCATAACTAAGCCAAAAAATCAATAATTTTAATTCGGAAAGCTGTTCTATGACAGTTTTTAGTAGATTAACAAAGCTGCATACCCAGTTTTCAAATT